AGGATTTGTTATTCAAATATTCCTGTTTTACTGTATCCTTGGATGAAAATACTGTTTACAGTTTTCAAAGGAGATGTTTACTGATGGACTAGTACTACAAATGTTATTTGGGCACTACAGTGAGAAGGCTTAGTGGGGAATTGCATGCGGTGTGCAAGGCTGGTAACCTGAGCTCAATATTCAGAACCCATGTTAAAATGGTGGAAAGAGAGCCAGGTGGTGGTGGCACACACATTTAATCCCAGCATGTGGGAGGCAGAGACAGGTGGATCTCTGTGAGTTCCAGGTCAGCCTGGGCTACAGAGTGAGTTCCAGAAAATTACTATGGTGTTTTCTCAGAAAATTGGGACTCAATCTACCTTAGGACGCAGCTATACCACTCCTGGGCATATACCCAAAGGAGGTTCAATCACACCACAAGGACACTTGCTCAATTATGTTCATAGTAGCAATATTTATAATAGCCAGAATCTAGAAACAACCTAGATGCCCCTCAACCAAAGAATGGATAAAGAACATGTGGTACCAAGGACACATGCTTAACTATGTTCATGTCAGCATTATTCATAATAGCCAGAACCTGGAAACAACCTAGATGCCCCTCAACAAAAGAACGGATAAAGAAAATGTGGTACATTTACACAATGGAGTACTACTCGGCAGTAAAAAAAAATGACATCATGAAATATGCAGGCAAATTGATGGACCTAAAAAAAATCATCCTGAAATCCACAAGGTTGACCCCACCTTGGTCTGCTGGCAGTGGTCCAGAGGGTGCCTGGACCAGGCTACTCTGGTGACCAGCATAGCAAATAACCTAGCTGTCATCATAGAGCTTTTGTCCAGTGACAGATAGAGGCAGATGCAGAGATCCACGGCCAGGCACCAGGCTGAGCTCTGGGAATCCAATTGATGAGAGAGAGGAGAGATACTGTAGTTGAGGGATGTCGAGATCATGATGGGAGGATGTGCAGAGATGACTGGCCACACTAGTGGAACCCCATGAACTGTGGACTGGTGGCTATGGAGCCCCCATGGAACTGGACTAGGCCCTCTGGACACGGAAGAAGGTTGTTTGGCTTGAACTGTTTGGGGGATTAGGATCTGTCCCTGGTGCATGGGCAGGCTTCTGGGAATCTGGTGCCTGTGGTGTGACACCTTGCACAACCTTGGTGCAGTGGGAAGGGGCTTGGACCTGCCTAGGCTCAGTGTGCTGGGCTCTGCTGACTCCCCAAGGGAGAACTCGATTTGGGGGACGTGGGGATGCGTGGTGGCTTGGGAAAGAGGGCTGGGGGCGGTGGGAGTAGGGAGGAGGGGGGGTGTAGATGTAACCAAACCTCTTATTAAATAAGAAACACAGAGCCGATTCAGAGAAGAAAGCCAAGAGGTCAGAACTAAGAGCCTTACCCTTCCTGCTTCAGTCAAGAGAGCTCTCCGAAAGGGGCCTACTTCCTGTGTGTATGTCTTTATATAGTCTTTCTGTTCTGCCTTCTCATTGGTTGTAAACCCAAACACATGACTGCTTCGTCACTGCCTGTCTGTAGAGACTTCCAGGTCTTCTGTGGTTGGTATTGAGATTAAAGGCGTGTGTCTCCAATGTTGGCTGTATCCTTGAACACACAGAGATCCACCTAGCTCTGTCTACCAAGTGCTGGGATTAAAGGCGTGCGCCACCACCGCCACGCTCTTGCTATGGCTTTAATAGCTCTGACCCCTGGGCAACTTTATTTATTAACATACAATTAAAATCACATTTCAGTACAAATAAAATACCACCATAGGGGCGTCTGTGGATAACATGAGGAGTGAGTAAAAAATTTCTTAATAAAGAAAAAAAAAATCATCCTGAGTGAGGTAACCCAGAATCAGAAGACAGACATGGTAAGTACTCATTCATAAGTGGTTATTATATGTAAAGCAAATGATAACCAGACTATAATCCACAGCTCCAAAGAAGCTAGCTAACAAGGAGGACCCAAAGAGGGATGCATGGATCACCCTGTGAAGTAGAGATAGATGAATCTCCATGAGCAAACAGGAGTGAAGGGTGGGCAATGGAGGGTAGGGGATGGGGGATGAGAACATCAGGGAATGGGATGGTGGAGCTGGAACAGGAATGGAGTGGGAGAGCAATGAAAGAGATACTATGATAGAGGGAGTCATCCTGGGGATAGGGAGGAACCGGGTGCTAAGGAAATACCCAGGAATCCACAAGAATGACAACAGCTAATAGTCCTAGAAATAGTGGATAGTGTGTCTGGTCACAGGCCTTCCCCTATAATCACATTGGTGAATACCCTAATTGTCATCACAGAGCCTTTATCTAGTGACTGATGGAAACAGATACAGAGATCCACAGCTAGGCACTAGGACAAATTCCTGGATTCCAGTGGAAGAGATTGAGGAGGGACTGTATGAGCAGGGGTGGTCTAGAGCATATTGGTGAAATGCACAGGAACAGCTGACCTGTAGTGATGTATTGTGTCCCCCAATAAAATTTATCTGAGGATCAGAGGAAAAAGCCAGCCATGATATTAGACATAGAAGTCAGGCAATGGTAGCATATGCCTATTTAATACTATCACTAGGGAGGCAAGGATATGTCTGGATCCCTGTGAGTTCAAGGCCACACTGGGAACAGAGTCAGGCAGGGTGACACACACCTTTAATCTCAGCACTAACCATAGAAGTCTGGAGGTCTGTACTAATAGATAGGAAGGAAAAAACATGTGTGGTGTGCAAAGCTAGTAACTTCAGCATAATCCCAGAACCCATATAAAGAAAGCAGAGAGAACACTCCAAAAAGATGTCATCTAGTTTTCACATATCTCTCATGGCCTCCATAATCATCTGTCCATAACCACATGACAGAAATGTTTGTTTAGAAAGAAATCTCCTTGCAGTTAGATTTTCTGGTATCTCAAGTCAATTCAAGAGGAAGCAGTATTTCATCTAATAATAACATAAGGGAATATGGGACATCATATACATATATATATACACACACACACACACATATATGTGTGTGTGTATTTCCATAAAACTTCAGTCTATGAGACATACATATACAAATGAGTGCTATCAACCTATTTTTTTACTTCTGTACCATACAGATGAAAAGCTGCTTTACATATACACAAGGTATTCAGTATTTCTGGTATTCTCTTTTATTAATCATTTTAGCAGTTACATTTTGAAATGTGTGGACTAAATAGGAAACATTAGGTATACATCATCTATCCAAGTTCACAGAAGGCAGCCACATCAGATCATAAGTTCAAATATAGCCCTGATAAATTACTGACAGCTAAAAATAGAATACAAACAAGACAATCTCAAGGAAATTTGTGTAAATATGAAAAACAAAATCAATAACAATACACCACCTTTTCAAGAAATTACTGTTTGAAATGTATTATCAACTAATACTTACATAATCAATGGACTAGTTATTGATGGGCTACATATTATAGAAGAAAAGTAACTATCACCAAATAAACACAATAGAAGAGTAATATAAACCACAGAAGGAATGAAAGAACCTCCAAATAAAATTCAATATGGCATCTGTCACACTTTCTGAAGACTTGTATTGCTAATCTATAAATTTCAAAGTACAGTCTACAATGCAGTGTTTTCTAATATAAGAATAAAGTGAACATAATATTATTTACATCCTTCAAGGCTTTGGTGAAAAAGAGACAAAGAAGGAATTGTTCTCGTAGTTGGAGACAATTGTGTTGTTTAATGTCTCTAAAAAGTTGTTAATATGAAGAGGGTAATTTTTTCCCTTGCATGACTTTTTCCCTATTTCTTGAAATCAAGATGAAATACAAATGCATTAAAGAACTATTTATGGGCTTAGAGAGATTTCTCTTCTGTTAAGAAAAGTTCCTTCCCAGATCCAGGACAGGTAGCTGACAATGTTCTCTAATTCCTGGTAGAAGATAATCTTAGTCTCCGGTCACCTTGGCCCCAAGAAATACTGCATATATCCACATGTAGACACATTGACATAACATTAATTAAAAATAAAAGAAACCTTCAAACAAACATAATTCAAAGTCATAAGTGTTTCACTCGGGGAACAATTCATTCCTATAACCCAGGTGTTACAGTATCCAGAGGTTCACTTACAGGCTTTTGCTTCATCATCAATCAGTAGATAGAGCAGAAGGCAGCCATGTTGGCAAAAGGCATTTTACACATTGATTCCATTCATGGGCTTTCTCTCCAGCATTTCACTTATGTTTTTCATGGTGACAGTGACATGAAAAGGCATTGCTACTCTGTCGATTCATGTGGTTTTTTGACGAGGAAATGTCCTACAGGCTTTCAGGCCTTTGAACACTGGTGTCCAGTGGGGGGTTTCGGCAAGGTTTAGGAAATGCTGCATTGATGGTGGAAATGACACTGGGATGGGTGTTTTAAGGTTCAAAGCTTCACTCCACATGCAGTTTCCACTCTCTGATCAATGCTTTGAAGTTAATGATGTGAGCTCTCTGGTACCCTGTCATGAAGAAATCTTGTCCCTCAGGAAACATAAGTCAAAATGAACTCTTTTATAACTTGCTTCAGACATTTTTTTTCCTCACCAAAAAAACAGAAAAGGACCTAATACACATAGTATGTCAGAGTATTTTCATACAATTGAAGAGCAGTCTGATTTCTAAAGGGTTTACCTTATTCTTTAAGTACAGAATGTTTTGCTCTATGCTCAGAGAATTTGTGGCTATAAAGGATTTGGAAAGACATTCAGCGAACACCCTTCTGCTCTGTTCAGTTAGACAAGATTACTTATTCTGAAAGAAAAAATTCTGTTAAATGTGAACAGTATGTTCAAGTATTTCTATATTCCTTATGGATTCAAACAATTATGCAAACCTTTTAGATATCAGACTTTCCTTTGATTATGAGTATTGTAGGGTATGAGTATTCCAATGTATTTAAAATGATGGGTGTGCAACAGTTTTACCACACTGATTACATTCACAAGGTTTCTATCTAGTGTGCAACCTTTCATGATTGCGAAGATGACTGTTGCATATAAAGGCTTTATCACATTGGTTACATTTGAAGGGCTTCTCTCCAGTATGTGTTCTTTCATGTATTTGGAGACTAATGTGATATGCAAAGACTTTCCCACATTGCTTACATTCATAAGGTGTCTCTCTAGTATGAATTCTTATATGTACTTTAAGGTTACTAGGTAGTACAAAAGCTTTTCCACATTGCTTACATTCATAGGGTTTCTCTCCAGTATGAATTGCTTCATGCATTTGAAGATGGTTGTTACATATAAAGGCTTTACCACACTGGTTACATTCATAGGGTTTCTCTCCAGTATGAATTCTTTCATGTATTTTCAGGTAACTGGTACGTGAAAAGGCTTTACCACATCGTTTACATTCATAGGGTTTCTCTCCAGCATGGGTTCTTTCATGTTTTTGAAGATCTCTTTTACATGTAAAGGCTTTACCACATTGATAACATTTGAAGGGTCTAGAATGCCTTTTTTTATGACCCTGGAAATAGTTGTGATGTGAAAAGGCTTTACCACATTGATTACATTCATAGGGTTTTTTTCCAGTATGAGTTGTTAGATGTATTTTCAGATAATCGGTACGTGTAAAGGCTTTATCACACAACTTACATTCATAGGGTTTCTCACCAGTATGAACTCTTTCATGCCTTTGAAGATAACTCTTCTGTGTAAAAACTTTACCACAGTGATTACATTCATAGTGCTTCTCTCTAGTTTGGGTTCTTTCATGCCTTTGAAGATGACTGTTACTTACAAAGGATTTATCACGTGGACTACGTTCATAGAGCTTCTCTCCAGTATGAATTCTTTCATGCATTTTCAGAGAGCTGTAACATATAAACACTTTACCACATTGCTTACATTCATAGTTTTTCTCTGCAGAATCACTGCTTTTGTTCCTGTGAAGAAACCTGGAATAAGTAAATTCTTTACTACATTAACTACAGATTCATCTATTTGTCTTTTTGAAGTCTACCATACAATAGAGAAGTTTGTCATGCTAAAGATTTACCATATAGTTTATATTCATAGGGTTTATCTTCCATAGAAGTTCTTTATAATAATTGTAAAGAGGAATCAGAACTAAAGGCATTATTAAGTTATCTGCCTTTATAGGCTTCAACTTAAATATGGGTTCTTTTACATGTTTGAAGATACCTGTGATGGTTCAAAGACTTAGTGCATGGCTCCTATCTGTAGTATGCCTTCCCCATATGAGGTTCTTTACATCTTTGAAGAAAATGGGCAGAACTTATAGCTTTACCACACTGACTGAATTCCAAATATCTTTCTATAGTATTAGTCATAATACATGTACAATGGGAACCAGGACAAACACAACATTTTGTACTCATTTCTTGTACTCATATGGATTTTTCTCCAGTATGAGTTTGTTGATGAATTGCCAATGAACTTGGAAAACCAAGTTACTGTAAACTTATATCACACTCAACAAGTCTGCTCATAATGGGGACTATTACACATCTTATAACTGATCTGGGAGAAGTAAGTATTTTACTTCTATACATATCCCTTAGACTCACATGGATTATATCCAGACTGGCATATGATATGCCTATAAAAGTGTAACAAATAAAAGGTTTTCACACTGCATTTACAAAGTTTACTTTTCATACCACATAGAGATGTGGTATAGAGATTAAAATTTCTCCATGACAACCTTCTTGGCTTTCATAAACTGCTGCCTAAATATTTTTGTAAGTCACTACAAGAGTAAGAACAGCACTAGCTTTTAGTGACTATTTCCTTCTTGAAATTTCTTGAACATACACCAATCACCTAGCCCACATATAAGCCTTCTGCATATACCTGAATGATATGAAACCCAACCAAGTGATCGTTTTGCAACATGGCATTTACAGGATTTAATAAGATGGTCCTATCTGTTAAGCCACTGTTTCTTTCTTTTTCTGAAAAGAATGCTTTGTAAGCATGGGTCAGCTACCTGACACTGAAGTAAATAGTGTTGTGAGAATTTAATAATCATCAAGACACTTAAAGCTATGCTTATTTCCTCCCTTGCTTTTCATGAAAACTTCCTGGGCCCACCAACATTACTTCAGAGACACATTTGTATCAGCTTTCACCTGAAATTTACCTTCCATGTCTTCTAGAAGGTTGATGATATTCTTCAATATTCTTGTCTTCCCATTTGTAACCTAAAATATATGATATGTTATTAGAAAGTTTGCAAAATATAATACTATCCTTGCTGAACTTTAGAACCACATCTGCCTTATTTACATTTTTCCTCTTTCATAATCAACATCCCAGAAGAGCATCAATAACCACAAAACACTTGACCGCTTACTTTAACAATTGAAGAAAAACTCAGTCTTACCTATAGCAGTAAGGTTCCTATAGGTTTCTACCATGACATCTTTGTAGAGACTCTTCTGGGAAGGATCCAGCAAATTCCACTCTTCCCTAGTGAAGCTCACATGCACATCCTCACAGGTCACTGCATCCTAAAATAACAGTATGTTACAGAAATCATGATACTGACAGCATTGGAATTGTATTCTTCCTTGACAATATATTCCCATAATTCTGTGTGCTTCCCACACTTCTTCCATGAAACAGAAGTTCTAATGTAATCACCAAGTCATTTGGAAGGAAACTGAAAATGAGGTTCACCCTGTCATTTCTGAGCCCACTGAACAGGATATACATTTATAAGAGAAATATCTACTAACAGAGAAATATATATATATATATATATATATATATATATATATATATGGAGAGAGAGAGAGAGAGAGAGAGAGGAGCAAAGAGATCAGAGCTCAACAGTACTGAGTAACCATCAGAAAAATTGTGAACAATTACTAACTCCAAAAAAGATGGATAAACTGGTTCTTTTGGCTCAGGCCTTTAATTCCTGCACTCAGGAGGCAGAGGCAGGTGAATCATTAAGATAGAGGTCTGCCTGGTGTCTCCAGTTTGTACCAGGACAGTCAGTGGTACATAGTAAGACCATGCTCACCAACAAATAAATGAAATAGATAAAACACAGAGGTTCCAACTGAACTTTCTTTAAATAGTTGTGCATAAACTCCAGTTCTGTATTTATCCTCTAGAAACCTAAATTACCCCAGTTTAAACTGTAAGATTAATAAGCCCTTGCTAGAAGTGAGTATATGTGTAAACAGTTACAGGTGTACAGATGAAAATGTAAGCAATGTAAATGTTGAAAATAAAAAATGTATAGGGCAGGAGAGTTGGCCTAGCAGTTAAGAGGCAAGTAGATCTCTGAGTTCAAGGACAGCCGGATCTATAGAGCTATTTTCAGGAAAGCCAGACCTACACAGAGAATTCTTGCCATGGAAAAAAAAAAAGTATGTATTTTAAAAATGAAAAACCAACAAACAAAAACCATCAGACTAGCAAAATGGAATAGGAATAAAAATCAGTTGTTCCTGCTGTATCTTGTGTAATTTAGGGGTATAGTCTATAATGGTGGTGTAGACATGACAGCACAACAAAGAAGTTTGATGATCAGTTTCAACCACAAGAAAGCAGATTTAAAGAACAGGATATGGAGGGAGGCTATGGACACACAAATCCCATCCCCCATAAGGAACTTCCCAAGAAAGGCTTCTAACACTAAAAGGTCCATAAGCACTCTAAAGAAAACCACCAATGAGAGACAAGGATTCAAATACTTCATACTATCTAGGAGAATTTTCAATCAATAGACTACATTCTAATCAATGTCACTATAGGCTTCTGGCTATCCAATGATGAAAATGCATTTAATCCTGATATTCTGGACATGCCTAGAAGTCAATACATTCTCCCAATCTATTTCTTATTCTCAGAAATAATAATATAAATTTGAATGTTTCCATGTCATTGGACTGTATGATCGATCCTAACACTAACCCTGAAAGAACGGTCATTGACATCATTGTAGCCTGAAGACTGGAGGAAGATAAATATCAATTGATAGTAGGAATTGGTTAAGTGGTGTTCTAGCACCTAATATAGAAACCTGTGATTTTTGCCTTCCTTACCAATAGTGCCTGGTGCATTTAGATAAGGACTGCAGTGTCTTATGAGAAACTTTCATCCAGAGATTAAAGGAACTAAGGTAGGATAAGCTTTGTGGGGATTTGGTTGTAGAGTTAGAAGTGAAGGTTCTGCCCATTACAGAAATGATGATCTCAGAGGAATTAGGGAATTCTAGTGACAAAAGCCCAGGTTCAGGCCAGGGAGGAGGACAACTTCCCCATGTGAGTCACCTAAAAACAGTTTTGTATTGACATAAAAACTGACACGTCAACCAATGGATTCAAATAAATCCACACTACTATGAACACCTGATTTTTAACAAAGAAGTCAAAATTCTACAATAGAAAAAAGAAAGCATCTTCAAGAAATGGTGCTGGCTGATAACTGGTTGTCAACATGTAGAAGATTTCAAATAGATCCATATCTGTCACCATGCACAAAACTCAAGTCCAAGTGGATCAAAGACCTCAACATAAATCTAGTTACACTGAACCTGACAGAAGAAAGTGTAGGAAGTAGCCTAGAATGCACTGGCACAGGAGACCACTTCCTAAATATTACACCAGTAGCACAGACATTGAGAGCAACAATTAATAAATAGAACTTCCTGAAACTAAGAAGCTCCTGTAAGGCAAAGGATACCGTAAATAAGACAAAACGACAGCCTATAGAATGGGAAAATATTTTCACCAATCCCACATTTGACAGAGAGCTGATCTCCAAGATATATAAAGAACTCAAAAAACTAGACATCAAAATACCAAATAATCCAATTAAAAAAATGGGCTACAGATCTAAATAGAGAATTCACAACAGAAGAATCTCAAATAGCTAAAAGACATTTAAAGAATTGCTCAATATTCTTAGTCATCAGGGAAATGCAAATCAAAATGACCCTGAGATACCATCTTACACCTGTCAGAATGGCTAAAATCAAAAGCACTGAAGACAGCTTATATTGGAGAGGATGTAGAGCAAGGGGAACACGCCTCCACTGTTGGTGGGAATGCAAACTTATACAGCCACTTTGGAAATTAGTATGGTGACTTCTCAGAAAATTGGGAATCAGTCTACCTGAAGACCCAAGGATACCACTTTTGGCCACATACCCAAGGCATGCTCAATCATACCACAAGGATACTTGCTCAACTACCTCAACGGCATCATTATTCATAATAGCCAGAATCTGGAAGCAACCTAGATGCCTCTCAACCAAAGAAGTGATAAAGAAAAACTGGTACATATACACAGTGGAATATTACTCAGCTGTAAAAAACAATGGCATCATGAAATTTGCATGCAAATGGATGGAACTAGAAAATATCATCTTGAGTGAGGTAACCCAGACTAAGAAAGACAAGCATGGTATGTACTCACTCATAAGTGAATACTAGATGTAAAGCAAAGGATAATCACACTACAACATACAGCTCTAGAGACGCTGGGAAACAAGGAGTAACCTAATTGGGACGCATGGAACACCTTGGGAAGGGGAAACAGAGGAGATATCCATGAGTAAACTGGGATGGGGGCTAGAGAGGGGAGGGGATGGGGGATGACAACATGAGGGAACAGGATGGTCAAGCTAGAGGAGGGAAAGAATGGGAGAGCAATGAAAGAGATATTTTGATAGAGGGAAACGTAATAGGGTAAGGGGTTCTAGGGAAATTCCCAGAAACCACAAAGACAGCCCAAGACTAGACTAGTAGCAATAGTGAAGAGGGTGCCTGAACCCAGTAATCAGATTGGTTAATACCCTAACTGTCATCATAGAGCTTTCATCCAGTAACTGATGGAAGCAGACGAAGAGATCCACAACCAAGCTGAGCACTGGAAGTCCAGTCAAAGACAGGGAAGTGGTACTACATGAGCAAGAGGGTTCAAGATCATGACGGAGAAATCTACAGAGAGAACTAAACCAAGCTCTCAGGAACTCATGAACTTCAAACCAACAGCTATGGAATCTGCATGCGACCAGACTAGGCCTTCTGCATACTGGAGACTGTTGGGTAGCTGGGTCTGTTTGAGGGGCCCATGGCAGTGTGATCAGGATCTATCCCTGGTGCACTAGCTGGCTTTCTAGAGCCCATTACATATGTTGGGGATGCCTTGCTAAGCCTTGATGCAGGGGGAGGTGCTTGGTCCTGCCTCAACTGAATGCACCAGAATTTGCTGTCCTCCCATGGGAGGCTTTACAATTTTGAAGGAGGGGATGGGGGGGGGGGGGGAGTTGGAGGGGGGTGGGGGGGGTAAAGCAAGAGGAGGGTTGAGAGGGGGATCTATGGTTGGTATGTAAAATATACAAATATTATAAATGAAAATGTGCTTGATCAAATAAAAAAGAGAAAAAAGAAATTGCCTTATTCTCCTGCCCAAAGCCACGCACACCGGAGAAGCCATTGCAGCTCATAAACCCCTTTTGTATCCTGGAACTGAAATTCCCTGAATCACACTATTGTGGCTTAAGGAAGCAGGAAGTTAAAAGCATTCTAGTCAAGTATTGCTGAAGGATGATTCCCATCACCTCCTTTCTACCAATTTCTAGACTATTTGTAAAATTTATCAAACAAACTTGAATATAGAATGCAAAGTTTAGAATCTGTGGAAACCAACACTTCAGTTTTCAAATCTGGCCCATCCCTATTAGAGGAATATCATTACTAAGATACTGATTTACCCTGCCCCTATTCACAAAGTTAGCTGCTGAGATCTGTAATCTAACACACAGTTACAGCCATTGATGGCTTATGTCTCAAACCTCTGAGCTGCCTTAGCTGTTTCAATCTGAATTGCTTATATCTGCATAGGAGAGTTCCCTAATTGGCAATTCAGTATTCATTGGCTCAAGCTACCCTCCCCAAATTGAACACCCCCCTCAAACAGGTCTGCTTTCATTCACAGGGCATGAATTAATGCATGCTGAGAAATTACACAGAAAGTCTGCCGCAATTAGGCCCTTCTTCACGATGGTGATCCTGTAGTGATCTGCCTTAAACATCAGCCTCTGCTCTCCCTGTTGTCTACTCCATTGCCCCTGTGGTGTACACAATAAATGATTCTCCTATTCTGGGCTGAAGGCAAAACCCTGCTCCACATGCAAGTCCATTTCCTGTTTCTGCAATGCACAGTCCACTACATGATTCAAATAGGTAACTTTAAAACTATAGTGTTACTGCCATTTAATTGAAGAATTTAATTATTCTTCAATCAATCAGCAGGGTCCATCAGCTGGGTCAATCAGCAGACTCCAAGGTGACTCCTTGTGGAGCTACAGACTTGGGTCAAGGTTACCTAAGTCAATGTAACTGAGCTTGTCTCAGAAACATTTCTGGGAAAGGCTACAGGTGAAATTGTTATAGAATTAATATGTGTTTCCAGGGAGAAAACACTGCATGTACTTCAAAGATTAAGGAAATAGAATATCTTTTTTTTTTTTTTTGGTTTTTCGAGACAG